GATGCGCAAAACTCCGCATTTGAACAGTCAATAACAAACACTTAAACTAATAACAAAACAGTCGCTGATTCAGAAGCGCCAGATTGTCATAGCAAAGTCAGAATTACCTCCTCTCCTAGGTTCATGAAACGGTCGTCCATAAAATGCATTGCTGTTCTCTGTTGTAAGTAATCTTAAAGATTGCTAAATGCATCTACTTCCGGAAGGCCAAATAAAGTGCTTTTGCTTTCGCCTAGAAACACACAGCGTCTCCCTGACATGGCTGCTTCAACACTAACTGCGGTTACTGAAACCACACCTTCTTTCTTTGCGTGAACATTTGGGCGGCATTATGCAAATATTTCCACACAGTGAAGTAGATATGTGGGGGCGTGTTAGAATGAGCCGTTTTAGGGGGGCGTGGCAGAGTCTTAACTTTGATAAAGAATATCTCTTTAGTTTTGAGACTTTAGTCTTTGCAACTTCAGGGATCTTATCTATGCATAATCAGCTTGTAACACTCCAAAGAGAAAGGAAAACTTGAAATCGCATCATATGACCCCTTTAAGGGTAAAACATTTTTAATTCGCTAAATGAGTTCGAATTTTATGTTTTGAATATTTTTAAATCTTCTAAATAGGTAAATGACCAGAAAGTGCTGTCATCTGCTTAAAGGGATAATTTATCAGCCATAAATATTTCAGTTATTGCTATTCAGTATGAATTTTCAATAAATTTGACTTAAAAACGTCTCTTTATGCTTAGATACGACAGTATATTGCATTTCTCTGGTCCAATCATCTCTATGAGTATTATAAAACACAAATAACAGCATTTTGTTAAACTCTGCCCTCTGCACAAAGCATATACTGTGACTTATGAATAGCCCTGGGCTTGAATAGTGAATGGTGAACCCTCATAGCACTGTTAGTGAGTGATGAACAATGTTCTCTGAGCAGTGATGGCTGAATGGTAAGTCTGTCAGAACTTACTCTAGTAAGATCTTGCTATCAGTGGTCTGAGGGAATCCAAAGTCCATGACTTCATCCATTAGCTCATATACTGTCACAAAATTGTCTCGAATACTCTCTTCTTCCAGTGACTTGAAATATTCAGTGAACACCTGCAAACAAATGGTTAATACTACTAATACTACTACATTCAATGTACACAAATTTGGTAAGGATATATTAAAATGAGGAAATGTTCTACAGCACATTTTTAGGGTGTTGATATTTACACAGCCAACAAGATTGTGCTGTGTAAGGTTTTATGGAAGGCATTGTAATGGCTGCAATATAACAAAGAGTGAAAAATTTAAGGGGGTCTGAATACTTTCCGTACCCACTGTATATATAAAACACACTTACCTCCACTAATTTGTACAGGAAGGAGTATACAAGAGCAGCATTGGTATTCTTCTTTGTTATTGCAACCACTGAGTAAAATATGTTAAGTAGTAATCACTCTACTCATTTGCAGAGCTGTTACTGTAACAACAATAGCACAAATATTCACAAATAAAGTGATATTTTAACAAAGACAAATAAAGGTTATACTTTGACATTTAGATGTAAGCATATGGAGGATACAGTAGAGGTTGCTGTGCTTGATCCAGAGGAAGTGGGTCGAGCCGTGAATAACTACTGGTGACAAATCTGCATCTTCCTCTCTCTTCATCATTATGGGCATAAAGTTGTCAATCTCATTTATGTTCACGTTGCCCATGTAGTTTCGACATATGAGCACCTTAGAGATGGAAACAAAGTTGAAAGCACAAGATTGTCATAAAACAGAGTATCCCAATTCTGCTCTGTCATCACGGAATCACTTACTTCACATGAGTGTAATCCATATAAAGACATGTTCGATATCAATACAACAAACAAAAGGTCATTTAAAAACTCTGGAAAACCTTAAGGTTCTCTCAGTTAATAGAGAAAATCTTTTATTTTTCTTAGAGATGTTTTGGCCCCAGTCATCATGCAAAATGGATTCCTTACGGCCTCAAAAGCAGAAAACACTTGTAATGAATTCTCAGGCCAAAAGGACACTTACAGAACAAGGTTTGTTTTCATTGACTCAAACCAGCTTGAGAATATGTTAACAGGTCAATCAATATGATCCATGAAGCAATATCTACACTAATACTTTTATTAATCAATTCAAGAGGCAATCAAATGCTTCTGGTCACTTTTATCACCGAGAGATACATTCAGGGTGTATAGTAGGATGAAACTTAAATATCAGTGAAGTCTTTAACGTGGCTGGTGTTGAGGTATTCCTTCAGAAGGAGATATTGGATTGCTCTAGGGCACAGACAAGACCGCTTTCATCAGCACTGCCAAAATCCAGGGGTATATTGGAGGGTAATCCATTCCACTGAGACCCTGAGGCTCTGTTTTCATGGAAACACTCCCATCCACCCACTACTTTCAACATTTTACAAATGTGTTCAGAGCTTCTCTTTATATTTACACCTCTTGATATATAATACATTTTTTTTTATGTTTTTTAAAGTCTCTTATGATCACCAAGGCTGCATTTATTTAATAAAAAATGAAACAACAGTAATATTGTGAAATATTATTACGATTTAGAATGGCTGTTTTCTATTTTTATATATTTTATTATGTAAATTATTCCTGTGATGGCAAAACTGAAATTTCAGCAGTCATTACTCCGGGTCCTTAGTGTCACATGATCCTTCAGTATTCATTCCAGTATTATTTGGTACTCAAAAAAAATATTTCTCATTATTTTATTTATTTTTTGGAGCTTAATATTTTTATTAATATAAATTAATACATTTTATTAATTTAAATATTACTAATAACTAATATTTTTGTGGAAACTGTGATACACTATCATTCAAAAGAAAGAAATTTGTACTTTTATTCAGCAAGGATGCATTACTTTGACTGAAAAATGACTGAAAAGACATTTATAATGTTGCAAAAGATTCCGATTTCAAATGACTGCTCTTTTAAACGTTCTATTCATAAAAGAAAAAATGATCAGTTTCCATTAAAAAAAATGTAAGCAGCCCTTTGTTTAAACATTGAACAAAATATGAAATGTTGATCTGAATGATTTCTGAAGGATGATGTTACACTGAAGAAATTCAGCTTCACCATCACAGGAATAAATTACACTTCAAAATATTTTAAAATATAAAACAGTACAATTTTAAATTGTAATAATATTTCACATTATAAGAAGGTACTGATTTTTTTCCACAAAATAACTTTTTTTTTGTTAGCAGGAATCCATTTTTAAATTTTTGTGGAAACTGTGATACACTATCATTCAAAAGAAAGAAATTTGTACTTTTATTCAGCAAGGATGCATTACTTTGACTGAAAAATGGCTGTAAAGACATTTATAATGTTGCAAAAGATCCCTATTTCAAATGACTGCTCTTTTAAACGTTCTATTCATAAAAGAAAAAATGATCAGTTTCCATTAAAAAAAATGTAAGCAGCCCTTTGTTTAAACATTGAACAAAATATGAAATGTTGATCTGAATGATTTCTGAAGGATGATGTTACACTGAAGAAATTCAGCTTCACCATCACAGGAATAAATTACACTTCAAAATATTTTAAAATATAAAACAGTACAATTTTAAATTGTAATAATATTTCACATTATAAGAAGGTACTGATTTTTTTTCCACAAAATAACTTTTTTTTTGTTAGCAGGAATCCATTTTTAAAAATAAATTTTAAATATAGAAAAAACGCAATATGTGAAACATTAACATTACCGTTGCCTTCAGTGAAAGTGCTGTTAACTTTAGAGTGTGATGGGTAGGGTGTATCTCTCTTGTGCCATATTTACATCATTAGTGGTTTTAGAAACCTTCAAGTGAGTAAATACATACAATTTACTTTGGCAACTGATCTATAAACAGTGATTATCTGTAGCTATATAGATTTTAAATAAAGTGTCACACTGTCAATACTGAGAGTCTAAACTGTACGACCTTTCTCTTACAGGTGCACGCGCTCTTACCTTGCCTTTAAGGTCCAGGATGAAGATCGCGGACGCTGCCATCCTTATCAAAGCTGTTGTATGACCAGAAGTGACTGACAGGGGTCGAAGTTTTGTGAATTTTGGTAAAGTTTGATCAAGTGAAATGAGAGATCTTCCCCATCCCTTACGCTCGTCTTCCGGGTTTGGAGGCGTCTAACCGGTTGTGCAGCTCGAGCTTGTTGCTGTGCTGTAAACTGCGAGAGACGCGACGCGTCAAAACTAGAACGCTGCCTTTATAATGAACCAAGCGATCTACGCTGTTTCGTCGCGTCGCTCTGTTGTAATGTAGAAGCAGTGTGACGTAACTTCAAATACTTTCAGGTGACAATCTTTTATTAAAAAGTAGATACTAATAAAAAGCCTAACACGGCATTCGTTTAGGATGAGGTGAATGCCATATAATGTCTAATTTGTGTTATATTATATAACATTTATAAACAATATCAAAAATATATAATAGCTAATATCAGTAGTACAATTTTAATATTTATTTCTAGACTAAAGGGCACAAAGGCGGCGCCCGGTGGCCAATGAAAGAATAGCGTTTTCTCAAAAAAGAACAAAAAAACAAAACAAGTTTAATTCAGAAATGAAGTGAAACATACAAACATACAAAAGACCAAATGTATATGGTCCAGAACGCAATTAAAAGTTAATGTAAATGCAAATTCTAGAAAGACAAATCTTTAAATGTTATTGATTATCAATATTACCATTTGAAAAAATTTTTAATAATTACTTTCATTAACAATGTTAACATTGCATAAAATAAGGCCTACTGCACATTCAATTGTCATTCAACTTTGATTCACATATTTTCAAATATGAAACCCTAGAAACTATTTGGACATCTATGTCAAAATATATGAATTTCATTGGAAATATTACACCAAGTAATATGAATAGTTTGGTGATTATGGAGTATTGAATGTTTGTTACTGACTACTTAATGCAAGTTATTATAAATAGGATTTAACAACATTAGACTTAATAGTGCTAGCCAATGCTAAATTCAATCTCTTCCTCCTCCTCCTCCTCCTCCTCCTCCTCATCATCATCATCATCAGCCAGTGCTGCTGCTCTTGTGGCTCTCTCACTCTCACTTGCTTGAATATAGTTGTCTTCAATAAACCCGTCGTCATCCTCCTCAAGTGCTAGCCAATGCTAAATTCAATCTCTTCCTCCTCCTCCTCCTCCTCCTCCTCATCATCATCATCATCAGCCAGTGCTGCTGCTCTTGTGGCTCTCTCACTCTCACTTGCTTGAATATAGTTGTCTTCAATAAACCCGTCGTCATCCTCCTCAGTGTCATGAGTAGGTGCAGCTGCGCGAATCCCAGGGCCACCCTGGGTCGAGAAACCCACCTCAAAGTTTGCAGGGTCACACTGACTCGTGGCGTCTACTTCGCTGAGCCTGGAGTGTCTGTAGCTCGCCAGATACTTGTGCACGACTTTGCATTTGGCCATCAAAGCGATAAGGACAGAGAGGGTGATAGCTGACCCCAGAACAGCCACAAGGACCTTCCAGCTTTCTGAAGATGTTTTGGGATCATCCTCTGTTTTTGTTTTTGTGCCTAAAAATGTTATTTATAATGGTTAGCTGAGTTTCAGATGTATGCACGGTTATAAAAGTTGATCATCACAGGTAATAATAGATTAACACTAGATTAAAGGGGGGGGGGGAAAGGTTTTGACCATTAGTTGTATTGTTTGAGAGTAGTGGCTCCACTGTGAGTAGTTTACGAAGGAAGGCTCCATAGTTGACATCCTTAGAATATCCTGCCATTAGAAAAACATGATATTGAAATAGTGTTTCTAAAAAAAAAAGATGTCAGAATATGTAGTGGCACACAAATAGCTTATTTTTCCATATAAATATAATTAATTCAGAGAAAATTTAATGGTTAGCTGAGTTTCAGATGTATGCACGGTTATAAAAGTTGATCATCACAGGTAATAATAGATTAACACTAGATTAAAGGGGGGGGGGGAAAGGTTTTGACCATTAGTTGTATTGTTTGAGAGTAGTGGCTCCACTGTGAGTAGTTTACGAAGGAAGGCTCCATAGTTGACATCCTTAGAATATCCTGCCATTAGAAAAACATGATATTGAAATAGTGTTTCTAAAAAAAAAAGTGTTATGTCAGAATATGTAGTGGCACACAAATAGCTTATTTTTCCATATAAATATAATTAATTCAGAGAAAATTAATGTCACTAAGAAATGGCTGGTCCTCATCTAATTCTCCAACATACATAAAAAATGCAATTCACTTATACACGGACTTGAATACACATCTTTTATGATGCACCGGTTTAAAATTTCTGCGTTCAAATTAATTTCATTTTTATTATTTTGGAGGAGCACAAAGGTTGGATGATTCAAAGGATGATTCAATTATCCTGATATCATCAAAAGTAAATAATACATTTTTTTTTTTATGAAAAACGTAGTTGAAAAAGTAATTTGTGGGCTATTGTTATTTGTACACTCACTTGCATTTAAGGTGTAAGGAATTATTTTATTACTTTTTATTTGAGGCTGCATGATATTTTTAAAGTCACTCAAATAAACCTTGTCTTGAAAATGGTATAAAAGTTTTTCAAATCCATATGAAACCAACATGAAACCAAAGAATACATTTCTAAGGAACAGAAACTAGATTTGTAAAAGATTCTCCTTTTCACTCCAACAGTATACGTCACTAAGTAACAAACAAAATCTAATACAGGCGAGATAAAAGTGTTCATACCATCATTGTGGTCATCCTGTGCCATGTGCTTTGATGCTTTGATCATCATTCCTCTGTCTCCCACTTTCGGTCTGTTATTCTGTTCCACAAACTGACTCAATCTCAGGTCTTTGACTGCAGTCGACTGAATGTCCCCCAGGAGGAGCATCTGTAAACTGGAAAGCTTGACCAGAGCATTTGCCTCCACTGCGGCCAGTTTACACCTACTCAGGTCTAGTATTTTAAGAGAAGAAAGGCTGTAGAGATGGTCTTTTAACAGTAGGGGGAGGTAGTTTCCTGATAGATTCAGTGAGACTAAGTGGCTGAAGAGGTTGAGGCGCTTGAAGCGATCACTGTGGGTTAAGTCTAACAGATTGTCAGACAGGTCCAGTTCGGTTACATTCATCCAGATGTGCTTTGGTACCGATGTAAGTCTTTTCCCACTGCAGTCAAATGCAGCCTGTAGAAAGAATAAAGAGGTATATGGTTATGAAACTTACTTCTGGAAAGTAAGAAATCACAGTCAATTGAAATAGTATTAGACATATGAGGATTTTAAAAAACACATGCATTTACATAGACTATAATTTTGCCCTGTTCAGTTAAGATTTAAAAAAAAAAAAGTAAAAAGGGCAGATTACCCACTTGCGGTTTCAAACAAGATACAAGAAATTTATTTTCTCGTGACATAAACCACTAACAGACTGGGTAAACCTCTGTCACCGAAAACAGGAAACAAGTGCCTACAAACAGGATACTCCTGATGTAGCAGCACTCGCTCTGGCTCAGGGAACAATAGAGGCCCGAGTGTGTGTTGTTTTTCCTCACCGTCTCTCTGTTGACCATACATGGGCCTACGGTCTGGAGTGTGTAGCATGATCCCGAGACCCAAAAACACAGGAGCACACACACTGTGTGCGTAGCATACCCCATGTTTTCCTGCTTCCTGCAGAAATCACAATTAAGGAAGATAAATGACATACACTGAAGTGGCCTTCAGCACTGCGAGAGCTTGAGTTCTGGTGCCATTTCATAACTATATAACGTCATGTGAATCTTTGCTTTATTGGGGAGTGAAGGCAGGTTATTGACACTGTCAGTAAAATGGAAAGATCAGAAAATGTCCCACACACATAGTAGCTTGAAAAAATGTATTTTCAACACTGTAAAAAGTGATACAAACAACTTTTTATAAACTTACATGTGTTGGTGCAACCTAATATAGTCAGGTTGATTCAATTATATTAAATTATCATTTTGACTTTTTGTTATTTTTTACCCCTTGAATGAAGCTCTGTGATAGTTCACATTTATAAAATACTTCATTAAACACTGTTAAAAATGCAAATATTTGTCGGCTATAGCTGTGTTATTATTAGTAGTAGTATTATTATTTCAGTACTCCATATATAAACCTATATGACCTTGTTTCATATTATCAATTGCACAAGATTTGAATTTTTTTTTCTCAAATTCAAAAAGTTATTAATAAATAAATAAATGGACATGTGTGAAGAAAGAGTGACACCAGAAGCATGAACCATGAGTAACATGACAAATAGCATTAGCTATTTAGGAAATCCCCTGCATGGGACAACGGTCGGTTATATTGTTTATTCATCATTCTGCAAACATATGTAACCACAGAGTACTAAAACTGACCAATAAGAATCCAAGATTCTTGAGAGTCACATAACAAGGTGCAATAAGGGTAATAAAGTACAAAAGGTGCAATACAAAACAATAAAGTTGATGTGTGCTGCTACAATGCATTTCAAAGGACTTGTTCAAACGACCAGGTAAATAACCTAAAAAATGTACTTCTGGATTGTTAATGATTGTAAATATATTAGATCAAGAATAATCGTAAATCCAATAATACTTGTCACTACCATTATCTTAAAACAATTTTACTAAAAATGAAATTAACTGCCATCTTAAGTTTGTAATACAGTAGAATAAAAAAGTGTTGTAGTGAATAAGAATAAACAACCTTATCTCATGAAAATGAATAACTATTTTTGAAGAGGTGGCAATTTTGTATGTATATGTGATTTGTAAGGACATTTTCTTTTCTTTTTTCAGAAAAAGTAAGCAAGCATGAAGGTCCACCCCTAAAACTGTCGTACTGCAGACTGCACAAAAACATGCTAATGATACTGTAATATAGTTATAGATTGCCATGAGAATGTGTTGGATTTATACATGCGTGCATGTGTATGAAACAGAGTGTTTGAATGTTCCATCTCACAGGCTTTAGCGTTTCCTGCTTATCTCCTTGTGGCTTCCACAGGGGCCACATTTCATACAGGGTTCAACATTTTTTTATAGGGGCCCTTCCTCTCATTCCCTCCTTCTCCCACTATTCATTTCAGGCTGTAAACACTCCTTAGGAGCTGCTTTTATCTCTTCCTGTCTCAGGACGCCCCTGAAACAGCATACCTGAGAGCCAGCCAACTTGGAAGTGTCTGCATGTGCATATGATTATAAATGTGAGAAAAAACAGCTTCAGAAAAGGTGTGGTAGAGGTA